CCAGCCTGGCCTTGGACACTTCCAGGGATGAGGCATCCACAACTTTCCTAGGCAACTTGTTCCACTGCCTCACAGTAAAGACTTTCTTCCTAAAGAAAGGATTTGATTCAGATCTAATCTAAACCTGCCCTCTTTCCATTTAAAGCTGCTCCCCTTGTCCTGTCACTGCGTGCCTTTGTAAAAAGTCCCTCTCCAGCTCTCTTGCAGGATCTCTTTAGGTACTGGAAGGTGCTCTAAGGTCTTCCCCCAGAGCCTTCTCTTCTGCAGGCTGAAAAACCCCAGTTCTCTCAGCCTGTGCCATAGGAGAGCTGCTCCAACCCTCTGAGCATCTTCATGGCCTCCTTTGGACTTGCTCCAGCATGTCCACATGCTTCTTATGCTGGGGACCACAGAACTGGACACAGTACTCAAAGTGGGATGTCACCAGAGCAGAGCAGAGCAGAGCAGAGCAGAGCAGAGCAGAGCAGAGCAGAGCAGAGGGACTTGTGCTGCTGCCCACTCTGCTTTGGATGCAGCCTGGGATGTTTGGATTTCTGGGCTCTGAGTGCACATTACTGGGCCGTGTTGAGCTTCTCATCAACCAACACCTCCAAGTCTTTCTCCTTGGGGCTGCTCTCAATAATGCTAAACAACATCAAAGGACCAGAGTATCAGAATAAGAAATACAGTATAAAATAAAGAGACAGAAATGGGACTTAGCCTATGTTTGCCTTGCTGAAGCAAGGAAATACTTAATTTAGTGCAAACTTCCTTACAAAGAAATCATTTCAACACTTTTGTAGATACAACTGCTGTACAAATGAGATGTAACTTCCCTTTGTACCATCTGCAGGTCAAACACTGAGACCAGTGATATGCTTCCCACACAGACCAGTAAATCAAACACCATCTTCTGTGTTTTTCTTCACAGCAGGTGCTCAGAGGCAGTGCAGTGCCCCCCTGCTCCACCCTTGGCAGTGCACACGAGGTGTTCTGTAAAACTGAGGAACTGCAGGGATGATCTCACTTATTTTAAAAGATCCATTTGGCCATGTTAAATGAGACACTGTTGGAAAGGCTCAAGGTTAAAACATGCATTCACAAAACCGGGAAAAGAATTTCATGACTCTTTAGAAGCCCACTTTGGAGAGTAGATGCAGTTGCAACATAGTTGGAGCCATTACTTTCATTCAGAGAGATCCAAGTCTGCTATTCTCTACAGCACTGACAGATGGTAGGTTTCAGTATCTCCATAATTGAGTATCTCAGACTCAACTGAGAATATTTCAGACTCTCTCTCTTTGACTGACTACTTGAATTTTTGTGTGTTATGAAGGTATATTACCCACTGGCTAAAAAATACAAAACCAAAATCCACCCTCTATGTCACAACTCAAAAGTGTGGCAGATTTCAAACAAACAAAAAAAAAATA